CTGGTAAGGTGTCATCTTGCATGTTTTCAACCAAGTCAGGCAAAGGCTGAGGTTGCTCTATAATATCTAATGAACTAAGAGCATTAGCAGGGATGAAATGATCTATAGGAGTGATACTGAACATGTCCAAATCTGATGTGGCATCTATCTTAAAAGGAAAAATAGATTCTCTAAAATCAACATCCCTATTGACAAAGAAGATCTTATCCTCCAGGTCATATAATTTGTAGCCCTTTTGAGTTTCAGAATAGCCAACCAAAACAACCTTTTTTGCCCTTGCAGCAAACCTGTCACTTCTAGGTAATTTACTAGCATAACATAAACAACCAAACACCTTTAAGTGATCAAGGATAGGTATCTTTCCATACAGAAGTTCATAAGGTGTCTTCCCATTCAAAACTGGAGAAGCCAATTTATTGATCAAGTATACTGAGGTTCTAACACAATCACCCCAAAAACTGATAGGGACACCACTTTGGAATTTAAGGGCTCTAGTCTTTTCTAAAATGTGTCTATGTTTTCTTTCCATTACCATTCTGCTGAGGAGTGTAGGGACAACTACTTTGGTGAATTATGTCATGTGAGGCCAATAATTGCATGCAATGAGTATTGAAGAATTCAGTTCCATTGTCAGACCTTAAGGATTTCACATTGACACTAAACTGAGTTTTAATCATACAAAGAAAATTCTTTAAGACAGTAGTAACCTCACCTTTAGAATGTAACAAACAAATCCATGTATTTTGTTGTAGTCATCAACAATAGTTACAAAGTAGTATTTCTTATCATATGTAGGCTTTCTATAGGTCCCCCACAAGTCGACATGAATCAAATCAAAACAAGCAAGTTTCAAACTAGAACTAGTAGGAAAGTTGGACCTATGATGTTTAGCTAGAGGACAGATATGACATTTTTCTTGGATATTATTGCTAACATATTTGGAGATAGAAGGAATGTGATGCATCACAGTTGAGGATGGATGGCCCAATTTGAGATGCCAAAGAACACCTTCTTCTTGGTGTTTGAAACTGACAACATTTGTAGTAGGAGTGACAATTTCCTTTAAGAGATACAACCCTTCCATTTCTTTACCAATCCCCAAGACCTTGCCATTGTAGAGTCCCTGAAAGACACAAAAATCAGGAAAGAATAGAACAAACACATGACAAGTCCTCTATCATTTTAGACACTGAGAAAAGGTTAAACTTGAAATCAGGAACATGTAGAACATTCTGTATTTTTTATGTTCCAAAAATAGTAGCATTCCCTGCACTTGTGATCTGAGATCTCCCACCAGTGGGTACCTGAACTTTATCACTAAGATGGTTGTCTAGTTTTCTAATGTCAGCAGATCTTTACAAGGTGTAGTGTAGTGAGAAGCTTCAGAATCAACAATCCACTCGTATGCAAAATCATTTGATAATGAAGAATGTGTACCTTATCCTAAACTGGAAGAATCATCTGAGCCAGTTCTTTGTGGAACTCCTGATTTGGTACTGGTGCTAGTGTTGGCTGTAGGTTTGCTCTAACTGGGTTGTGCTTGTTGATTTTGTTGTGAAGCTTTCCTCCTGCTTATGAAGTCTGAAGGGTAGCCAAATACCTTGTAGCAATCATCCTTTAGATGACCTTTGTAGCCACAATGGATACAAGGTATTCCAGTTCCTCCAGACCCTTCATGGCTTCTCCCAGCTCCTTCAGACCCTCCATGACCTCCTGGTCTTTTAGATATGTAATCTAGAGCCCTTCCTGTTATCATAGTCAAATGATCCTTCTAAGGATCAACCTCTCCTAATGATCTTTGTCTTTCCTCTTGAGCCATGGTAGCATAAGCTTCATTGACAGTCACATTTGCATTGCGAGATAAAATGTGGCTCCTCAGGTTGCTATAACTCTCATTCTGGCCCATAAGGAACTGCAACAATCGTTGTGATTTCAAATGGTCCATATAAACATTAGACTCTTCATAATCACAGGAAGGTAGTGGAACCATTACATCAAGTTCGTTCCATAGATACTTCATTTTAGAGTAATAGTTTGTCACAGAGTCAGTTCCCTGCCTCAAATTTGCAATTTCTGCCCACAAATAGTAGATCCTCGTTAAATTTGATCTATCAAAACGCTCCTTAAATTTGTCCCATATCTTCTTAGCATTTGAAGCATAAACTATGCTTGGTATCAAATTAGCAGAAACAGTACTGCCGATCCATGACAACACAATTGCTTTACACTTCTCCCATAATTTTTCTAGTTCTCCTTTAAACTTACTCTTCGTGCAATTACCATCCACAAACCCAAGCTTTACTTTGCCTCGCAGTGCTAGTTTCATCGATCTGCTCCACAAAGGGTAGTTCTCTGGTCTTGTGAGTTTGATCAGAATTATTACTAAGCTTGGAGAATCAGAAGCTTGAAGATAGAGAGGATGATGATGATCGATTATCGTTGTAGCTGTAACTTCCATTTCTGCAGTAGATTGTTCTCCCGTCATTGGTGTACTAAACGAATTGATGCGATGAACTCAAACTCTAAGCTTAGCTGAAGGTGAGATCGCCGCTCTGATACCATGTTAATTTTGAGTTATGTATGCAGAATCCATGGTGGATATGTCCACCATTGATGAATTCCCTAAGCTATTACAGAGAGATTAGAAAGAGAAGATAGATGAACTATTTTATTGAATATGGAAAAATTACGTCAATTACAATTGGTGCTTAGTACATATAGGTCCAGCTAATCTTCTTCTAGAAGGTTCTATCTAACTACCTTCATAAATATTTGTAACTAATTCTGTTAACTACATCATAATGACACTTACAACAATTAACAGAAATAAGGAACAGGTTATTTCAATAAAAAGATGAAGTGACGAAGGTGTTGTTAAAATCAGTGAAGAACTAAGATACTAACTCCGCTAAAAAGCAAACAGAATTGGAGAGGAAGAGGAGAGAATAGAAGTGGAAATGGAGGTGTGTGGCGGTGCTTTACATAGAAAGAGGCGTTAAGGTTGAGGCAGCAGGAAGATAAACATGTAATGCTGAAATGTCTGAAATGTCCCTCGAGTTCAATGTTATTTTCAGGGAAGCACATGCGTTGACGGAGAGGAGTGTGCTATTCCCCTTTCTTATATGTAATACATGTTTTTACCCTTTAAAAATATCAACAGTAAGAATGGGGCGCGTTGGGTTATAACCTACATTTTCAGCTAATTTGATCCACCCAATTTCAATCCAATCTGCCTATTTGACAATTGTACTATTTCTTATTAATAGGTAAAGTAATGAAAATTAAAATATAAAGAGACAAAAAGTAGAGAAATGAACTCCAATTAATCTTTGGGATACCAATTTACAATTAAGGGAAAATTATGCGGTTAAGCAAATTTATACTACTTAATTACTCATCATAGTTATAGTTTGCTATAATTACCCCTCGCGACTAACATTATACATTAATTATGTGGACTGACTTCGAGTTTGTATAATTATCCACGTTTGTAAATGTATAATTCGCAGCTAACAATTCTTTGTTTGATTTGTATTTGTATACGATTATTTATATTTGTATATGACGATGATTTCCTTTGGTTTTTCAGTTTTGTCATCATATACATTCAATCTTTTTTGTGTATAACTTTTTAAAAGTTTGTATAAACGTGTAGTTTTTGGATTTTGTATAATATATTTTGTATAATTGTTTAAAGTTCATACGTTTATGTTTGTATCAATTCGTTATTTTGAGTTTTATTATATTTGTATAATCCAGACTTTATATTACCCAATTATACAAAAAAAAATGTGAATTATACAAACGTACTTGCGTATTATACAAACGAAATGTGAATTATATATATTTTTCTCCCCTCTCGCTCGCCTCTCTCCTCCCTCTCCCAATCTCACTCCCCTCTCTCCTCCCTTTCTCAATCTCTCTCACCAGAATATACAAATACATATGTATAATATACAATTATCTAACCGATATAC